AAACACTGAATAGGTTTTGCAAGTTTGCTGAAGTACACTATAGGGATTTTCTGGGACACCGCAACACTGCTATTTCTGCTTTTGGCTGTTATGTGCTTCCTGAACACTTAAAATGGCCTGTAGCGAGTCTTCATGTCTCAAATGTTATTGGAGGGGCTTGCTTCTAAGATCTGGCAGTGCTTTATGCATATTTGACACTTTTCAATGTAGATATCAAGCCTAAGGGGGGAAAAAAAAATTAAAAAATCATACAACTCGAGCAAAACTAAGATGTACCAAAATGTCCATACTATGTCAGAAGAGACATATTCCTTCACTGGCTAAAATGATATAAATTGCAAAGAAATTCTGTAACAAAGGTATAAACAGCAAAAAAGATCTTCTTTCCTTCCAGAAGAAAGCAAGAAAGCTCCAGCATCCAATCAGCCCTGACAGATTGCCTAGTCGTACTTTCTGTTTTCCCTTCTCCCCCATCCCATAGTAGCAGAGCTTCCAACAAGAGAGACACATTGTATTCCACCATGCAGAACTGCCCATGGTTAAGGCACAGTGCAGGAAAGCGGCACACATTTTTTAAACTCATTCATGTTTCAAGAATTAGTTTCTGACTACTCTGACCATAAGATTATTATATCACAGCTGCCATCACCACTGTGAGTTGAAAAAAAATGTAGATCTTGCTCCCTTTAAAAAAGCAGTGGAAGCACTCTGCCTTCAGCCATACCCCACATCCCTTTGCAATATTTAATACTTGTAAGTTCAACACTGCTCCTTATCTAGTACCTGAGCCTTCTGAATTGCCATACTGAGACAGCATTTTCCCTTTACGCTGTAGAGAATGCCAAGGTGCCTACTGTGGCATTGAAGAATGTAACTTCTTTAAAAGATTTGGTCTTCTCTTTCTTCTCTATAAATATGCACTAATGAAGTCTATTTGTACATATCAGATATTTGTACACGTCAGATATATGTGAAACCTGATCATCTAACACGTAGTAAAACTACTTGGCTTTTAGATAGTCAGAGCTTCAAAACACTTGCAAAAAGAAGGGAAAATTTCACTATTAAAAGGTTTTCATCAGTCTATTACTATGCTCAATATACTGGTATTCTATCTTTTTTATTAAAAGTGACACAAGTATGTTCAGATGCTTTGTAAAGTTCTCCAAAGTCTTTAGATACACTGAATGTCCATCTCTTTAGAACAGTTCTCTTGTAATAAGATGTATATTCAAGGAATGTAAATTCAAGGCTGCTAAATTACTTGCCATCCCAGACTTGTTTTGTTACAGACTCATGTACTTGTGAGACTTGAGAATCTTCCTGAAGCCTGCACCTTCTGTAAGAGGTACGTGTTAAAGGGTGAGATGCTTTCTCTGGGACAGCCTTCTAGAGGAGCTGCCTAAAGAGATGTCTAAGTCCTGAAGCATACTGCTGTTACCTGGAGGAAGGAAAAAAAAAAAAAAAAAAAAAAGTCCAAAATGGGAAGAATGGGGTACAGAGGGAGTGCACAGGGCATTACTGCATTATGCTGTGAAAGTAAACAACTTTCCAATTCAAAATGAGTATGTATAGTGTTATTTTCTGTTAAAGAACTAAACAGACTGGTCAAAACTCAGTCTTTCAAAGTAATATGCCAGTAGTGGAATTACATGGGCCTACATAAGAATGCAAGAATAAACTAGGCATTTCGTTCAGAATAGAAAGCTAAAGGTGTATAAGTGATAGACCTGTAAAACCGTTGCTACAAGTAGGTCTTACAAGAAAATTGGGCATGACAAGCATGACTGCTTACCTGCAAAATTAAATTAAGAAGTCCTGTAGGATTTAGGGTTCATTCAAGTAGCTGTGATACTACTTTAAACAAGTCTCATCCAGACTTCAATATAATACCTGTATTTGGAGATTACTACTCTCTAAGAATTACAAAGGCAGCTTTTCTCTCTCCCAACTTTGTAAAGTATAACTATGATGCAACAATCCTGACCAGTGGGAAAAAGAAAATGTAAAAATTGAAGGTAAACCCTCAGAAATTAGCATACACATCTGAACTCATTCTAAGCAGTGAAATCACTAACATACAAGCATCTGGTACTATTTATGTTTATACTTCATACCAAGTTTCCTTATTGTGACCACTTCACTAAGCTTATATTCTTAGCAAAAAAAAATCCAAATAAACCATCACCACCACCACCCACTCCCCCCCCAAAAAAAAAACCCCAAACCAAAACCAACAACCCCACAACCCACCCACCACAATTAAACCCCAGCCCAAACAGAATTATATGCAGAAGCACGTAGTCCTCCCAGCCTGGAGAATTTCTTCCTGATAACAGGAAAGAGTAGGAGCTCTCAAATCCTCTTTAGGTAGCTCCAGAATATTGTGACCCACAGGCACCTTTTAAAAAGCTTAGAGATCACCTAAGATAACAGACAGCTACTAAGTGCAAGCATAAAGGAAAAACAAAAGAAACCCCAACCAAACAAAAGCCCAAACACACAGAAAAGCACAAGTCCAAAAGAAAACTGAACCAGACGGGGCTGCCCCCCCCCCCCCCCCCCC